CAGGATGCCGCTTTAGGGCCTGGTCAGACTGCGGCAAATTTTGGTTGCCTGACGAAAAAAGAACAGCGTCCAGAATTTGAATCGCGATCACACTACACATGTGGGGAGAGTGAAAATTGAAACTTCATTTCGAGCGTCAAGTGGTAATCTCCACGAACGACGTCAAATTCCTTCACCTTGGGGATCGCCAACACCTTCAGTGCAATCCTTGCAACCATCCTTATGAGTTTTGTTGTTGTCCGTGGCCAATTAGCTCCTCGATATCGAGATGAAAAATCAGTGATTATCAGCGTCAATGGCGTATCAGCGTCAAATCCTGTTTGGAGCGGAAAAGCGTGGTCCGTGCTTGCTTTTTTTTGGAGCGTCAACTCTCGCTTTTGCCGCTCTGGCGGAAAGTCACTATTGAGATTCGGATTATAATCCTAGGATTATTTCGATTTTGCCGCAGTCTGACCAGGCCCTAAGCTGTAACTTAAAGTTTCAAACATTTTATATAATATATAGGCTATGATCGTTTGGTCGGATCCAGATCCAGATCCAAATCTCAGATCCGTCGGATCCTTCAGAATCAACCGAACACTTTTCGGTGGACCTTGGCTGTTGCCATGTTGACGAAGTAAAAAATGGCGCTGACAGGTCACCCAAAAAAGGCAAAAGTCGTACTGATCGCGCGCGCGTCGTACGAAAAGTCAACAAAAGCCCACTAGACGTACGACAATGAGTACAAAAATGGTTTTTACCCACCATAAACGCAGAAAGGTCACATTTGGATCCGATGGATCCACTCAACCCTGCTCCCGGGGCAGGGTTGCTCCGATCCAAATCCAGAGGATCTGGATCCGGATTCGACCAATCGATCATTGCAGATCCAGTGGATCCGATGGATCTGGATCTGGATCCGACCAAACGATCACGGCCTGAGTGATCCTTGAATAGGAGGATAGTTGTACCTAGAACTACTTCATACCGCACACGGCGTACAGTACACAGCTTAGCACTGCACACATCACACAGCACCCCGCAGCCAGCCCATAGCACTGCACACATCACACAGCACCCCGCAGCCAGCCCATAGCACTGCACACATCACACAGCACCCCGCAGCCAGCCCATAGCACTGCACACAGCACCCCGCAGCCAGCCCATAGCACTGCACACAGCACCCCGCAGCCAGCCCATAGCACTGCACACGGCACACACACCATCGCCTACTTTTTCGGCCGTCCTTTCTTGCCCTTGGCCGCCATCACCATCTCGGTAGTACCCGTTGAGTGGACAGGTGCCACTGAGGTAGTCGTACCAGCTGACGGTTTGCCAGAGATGGAGGAGAGAAGAGATGCCTGGACGCGCTTTTGTTTGGCTGTACCAGCAGTGCTGCTGTTGCCACTGCCACTGCCTGTGCCCTTCGTACCTGCAGTCAAGACAGCCAGGATGAACAAGACATCAGCTCAGAACTCGCTGCTGACACAGAAATGCCACAAGCAAGACAGAGCGAGGACTGTGACGGAGAATGAGGACGTCAGACAAACCAAAAACCTCCGAACATTTCGCTTTGATCGAGCATGCGGTCACAAGTCAGCAACGGAATCTTTCAAAACTCACCAAACGTCTCGACTGAATGCCTACACAATCGTTCTCTTTATTTTTCTGCCCCCGCCCCCATCTCTCTAACTCCAGCGCTCAAAATGCTAGCCTCTGCTGTTGGTTCATTCCACACCCACCCAACCACAAACGACTATACACACACGCGCGCGCGCGCGCACACACACACAAGCGCACACACACACACACACACATTCCCTTTGTCGTACCGTTCTTTTCCTTTAGCGGCTTGACGGAGCTGCTTGTCGGCACAGGACTCTTCTCTGCTTTCCTCTTACGAGATGATACCGGTGTTGTAGAACTGAGCTTATCCAGGTAGCTGCCGCCACGATCTGATGGTGTTGTCGGTGATGCTAGTGAACTACTACCGGACAATTGGAAGGGATTTGCTGTGGCCATGCCACCATAACCTTCAGAACAAAAAAAAGGTTTGAAAAAACGACAGAAAGATGGAAACACGGTTTTCACCTAGCCTAACTGTTCTAGCCGTGTGTGTGTGTGTGTGTGTGTGTGTGTGTGTGTGTGTGTGTGTGTGTGTGTGTGTGTGTGTGTGTGTGTGTGTGTGTGTGTGTGTGTGTGTGTGTGTGTGTGCGTGTCCCATATGGTGCAGTGGTATGTGCAGCGATTTCCAATCGATAGGTTGCGGGTTCGATTCCCGACGATTATGGTCACACACGTCTTTCTTCTCTTTCTCAGACTCTTCCTGACTTTTCTTTCATTCTCCTGGGTGGTTACCAACAGCCAGTGCATGCCGGAGTATGTGGTGTGATGTGTGTGTGGGAAAAAAAGAAAAAAAAAAGAAAAAGACCAAAAATAGGGATTCACTGGCCAGAAAAAGTCACTTCAAATAGCTGTATGGTGTAGACCAGGCTGAATAGTGACGGTCAATTCTTCAGCCGTGCAAGCTGTTGAATGGTGCAATCCCAGCACAAGTTGCTATGGCTTCTGCCGTAGCATTGCTATCATCGCCTCCGGCGATGGGCGTCAAAGGTCAAGGTGTGTGTGCGTGTGCGTGTGTGTGTGTGTGTGTGCGTGGGTCTGCCGACCACTCGTATGAGGGGACACGTGACCGTTTTACGGCAATGCTCAGGACAGGACTGGCGTGTGTGTGTGTGTACAGCTGTTTTTGTTCGTCTCCACTAGTCTGGTATACTGTGAAGGGAACACGGCTACTCGACCAAATGATTGACAACAATCTGAGAACAGCTGGCCATCATTGCCACATTGCTTTGTGAGGTGGAGAAGGAGATTGTGATAGAAACCTGGACAATATCATTACCCTTGCCGGCGGTTTTCGACTTTGGTGTGGTGGCTATCTTTGACGCAGTCTTACGGCCGGCCTTGCTCTCAGAGTCGGATATATCCTCATCCGCAGCTGCCCACTCATCCTCGTTTTCCTCTTCCAAATCGACATTGTTCAGATCCTCGCCGCCACCGTCGTCAAACTCCGGGTTTTCGCTCTCCGTGACATCATTGTCGTCCTCTTGTCGTGACGACACAGCCTTGGAGTCTTGCCGACTGCTGCCACCAGTGTGCTGAGAAACTGACGACGGTGATGCCGGTCCAGCAGCCGTAGCAGCAGCAATGCTGCTACTGGACACTACCGACCCTGCTTTGCGGTGCTGACGATGTCGCTCGACCAGCTGAGCACGCGGCTGCAGTCGAGGCTTGCCGTTGCTGCTACTGTTGGTCTTCGATAATAATGATGATGATGATGATGATGATGATGATGATGATGATGTGGACGCAGGCAGAGAGGAACGGTTCAGAGTTGAATAGGACGATACGGAGGAACTGCCTGCAGATGCGCAGCAGGCACAATACAAAGAAGACAAAGGGAGAGAGAGAGAGAGAGAGAGAGAAAAAGAGAAAGAGAGAGAGAAAGAGAGAGAGAGAGAGAGAGAGAGTGTGTTAGACACACATAATCTAAAAATGCCCGTAAATCCAGCCATCCAGTATAGCTGACACTATCCGTGTCAACACTTGCCCAGTGTCAACACTCATGTCCCATTTTCTAGCCCAACTCCGTGTAAACGCCCACAGGCTCAGTACATAGTGCAGTGCATGCACAGCTCCACGTGTATGTACGGTACTGCAGCATAACTATAGTGTACTGCACAATCAACTTTGCGTATAACGACACTCGGCGGGGCATCAGAAAAGTGTCCTTATACCTGAAGTCTCATTCTATGTGTTACAGTTAGATGAGTCTGGGCATGGGAATTCTGTCGTTATTCGCGAATTGTCGTTATATCTGCAGTCGTTATTATCGAAGTTGACTGCAGAGCATGCACAGCTCCACGTGTATGTATGGTACGAGGTGAATAGCAATTTCTGGACATGAAAATAAAATAGAGCCCCACTGGCTGTGTGTTTTACATTTTTCATATCTTTTTGTATCTATTGTATGGCCTAATCTTTCATCTTTCCAAATATGTGACAATTGCTCATGCTGTGAAAACAGAGACTTGATAGCAGGATGTTTTCGACAGGCCAATGTTTTGGCCTAAATTTCAGTGTATGGAATTCTGGACATGAAAGTAAAATAGCGTCAATAGGCATCCTATACTGCACCATTTTTGTTATTTTTTCTATTGGTGGACTGCAGTTGGCCTCTTCACACTTCCAGCCAACAGGTCCAAGACTATACAGCGTCTGAAGTGGAGTGCACATGGGAAAGCCAACGATTCGTCCATTACTTCTTATTTTACTCAAAATTCAAAATTCTCATGCGACATAGTACCACAAAACTCGTTGAAATGCCTCCCAAGAAAAGGCTATCAACAAGGCATCGACACGAGGAGAAACTACAACAGCCCAGCTGTCAACTACGGCAAGAAAAAACTTCATCAACCTGACTGACTTCACTCGACAACAAATTATTTTACTCGAAATGTCCAGAAATGTACAATGTCCAGAAATCGCAATTCACCTCGTACTGCAGTATAACTATAGTGACTGTGTACAGCAGTGTAGTGTGTTAACCATACACGTGTCTGTACTATGTTGTTGGTTGACAGCATGTAACGAGGTGGAGGACCAACGTGTTCGGAAACAGTGACCCTACTACAACCATCCACGGTTTGTTATAATGCTGTCAGCCAACAACCAGCAACATGTTTCAACAAAACAAGGTGCATCCAGTGTCTGCACTAGTACGGCATGATGTGAAAAAATTGTTTGATTTCACTTATCCGAAATAGTACCCGGGCCCACATAAGCGCCCAGGCCCAAATTGACGCCCATGTTCACTAACGATTCCGCCCAGGGCCTTATTACGGGCTTTGGGGGTACTGAGTCGAGGAGATGGGTACGTGAAATATCATTTTGGAAAAGAGAACAGAGCAATTTTGGTAACGATGAACGGCTTTGCGTGGAATAAAGTCAGGTTCAGCTCA